AACTTCCACACAGAAGGCCTGGGATCGAATCCAGCGTCGGCAAAAACATCTAGATACTTTTAAATATCTACAGGCCCCAGATCGACAGCCTGAATAAAATGAGTACCTTGGGTAAAACCAGGGTAATAATGGGCGGTTGAAGAGTAGCACTAGCCCTATTACCTTCCTTGTATATCTTAGGCCCAAGAGATAGCGGTATAAAGGAAGACTCTAAGAATAAACTCCAAGTTTTTAGTGTCTCTCCTGATGCTCGACTTATAGAGGCTCTAGAAAATTGGATAAAATGAATGTTGTTTATTTGACAGGACTCCAGTTTTATGTTGTTTATGTAAATTTAAACGGTTAATGAACTTTATAAACTCATTTACTTTTTGTCCAGTCAGTGTAGATTCTATTCACAACATTACCATATTGTAATGAACTAAAAACTTGTAACAGACTTTGAAAATAGCAGTGTTTGGCTTGCATAAAGAATAACACTCGTGCAATTATAAGCCTATGTTATCGGTATGCGACCTATGGAATCTAATGTATATTTCATTGGTAATTTTATCGTTTTTTGGATTACGTTGTTACGGTCGACATATTTGTTTTAAATTAACATTTATTATAGTAAATTTAATAAAAATTTTTGGTATGCCATTCAACAAAACAATTATACAACATAATATTATAGCCTGGTCAATGTACACAAAATTTTGGCACAACTCAAAATAAATCAAGGATGAAAATTTAAGAATGGATAGTTGAAAGTTTTTATTATTAAAATAAGTTTACAATCCTAAGGCACCTCCATTTCGCAAAAAGAGTAGACTTTTCATATATTGGGCTGTACGAGCCTTTTCCCATATCAGTTGACCCACCTATGAAATTTGCAGTTTAAGTCGATTCCCATCAACAAATTATACTCTGCATGTTTTTATAAGTTTCCATAGTAATTAATATGGCATTTTTATTAATAATTATTACTAAAAACATTACCCTTATGGTTTTTTTTTATTTATTTTCAACAATAAAAAAAATCACTAAACCCTGGCTATGAATTCACTTATGTCACATACGTTGATTTTTTTAATAATTACGTTAAATCCAGAGGTAGCTATGAAAAAATAACATGAAAACAAAATTGTTTGTTAATGTCAAATAATTTTGGAAAATTTAATTCGGAAATCACGAGTATGTTGTAATTGTCACGCTATACTGTAAGAAATATAGTAAGAAAATACATGTTCGGTCGTCACAAAACCTAGAAATGTACGAAAAAATAAAATAACCGAAGTAGATCGAATTAAAGTGAACAATCGACGAGCAAATTATATGGAGTTGAGCGTTTTATGGAGTGACGCTATTGGAAGACACGTTTCTAGACCAACATGTCACCGACAGGCCCATAAATAAGAATTTGGTATTTACAAAGTAAGTTTTATAGTTGAAAAAATTAGTACGAATTGTTTAAATAACATTCATTTTATTTTAGGCTAAGGAAAAGCCACCTTTAACATTACAACAAAAGAAAAATAGACTAAGCTGGCCAAAAAAGAGCATAAACATTGGACTCAGTCGCAATGGGATTCAATACAATGGAGTGATGAGTCCAGATTTGAAGTGTGTTGGAGACAGGAGGAGTCGCGTCATTCGCAGGAAAAATGAAGCTTTCCATCCCGACTGTCTGAAGAGAAAAGTCAAATTTCTTACATCTGTCATTATCTGGGGCAGCATGTCATCTAAAGGTGTTGCAAAGTTACATTTTATCGATGGGATTGTAAACACGGATAAATATTTGAATATTTTAGAAGAATCTCTTTTACCGATTATGGAACACCGTTTAACATCAGCGGAAGATTTTGTCTTCCAACACGACGGCGCAGGTTGTCATACCTCAAAAAAAAGTTTAAAGTGGATTGAAGACATCCTGCCAGGGCCGTCAACGAATTGAAGGAAAAATTGCAAGAAATATGGGATTCATTTACATTAGAATTTTGTCAGAACTTGGTAAAAACTATGCCTCGAAGAATTGTGGATGTCATTAAAAATAAAACGGATGTAACTCAGTGGTAAACTTTCACATTTTTTTTTTGTTAATATTACATTGAAATATTAAGTCAATAATATAAAAAAGACCGAAAATGTTATGTGAATTAATGTTATTGAGAATTAAAAGATTGTAGCACAAGAATGGTTGGAACTATTCGAAAGAACAAAAAAGAATATGATTGGAATCTATGGAATTCCTATGGAATTAAGTGCGAAGAAGATTGACCATATGTGCTTTCCAAAAACAAGCATCTATCATCATGTATATCCCAAAAGCAGGCAAGAATCTTATCCTTATTAGTACAATGCATCAAACACCAACAATCGATCGATCATTTTCCGGAGAAAAAATGAAGCCAGAGATGATAACATTTAAGAACAAGACGAAAGATGGATTCGATACTCAATCGATCAATTATATTAGATTATACAATACATCCAAAAATAGTATTAAAAGGCAGCTACTTATATTACTTTTTCTATTTTAAACGTGGCAGCTATAAATGCATTTGCGATTTATTGCATGAACAACACCAACGTTATGCATAGTCGACTATTTTTGAAAAAAAAATATGCATGAGTTTTCTAAAGGATTATCAATCGCAAGTATTAGAAAATAAAAATATTCCCAAGAAAATAAAGTGAGGATTGTAGATTAAGAAGGGAAGACGAAGAAGAAAAACCAATTTTGCCTATCGAAACCAAAAGAAGCAGATATAATTCACATCTCGTGGTAACGACCAGAAATCAAAATATTTTTGTAAAATTTGTAAAAATAGCGTGCGTATTTTACTACTTCTTACTGATTGTACCAAAATAAATTGTTTTTATTCAACGATTTGTTTATTTTTAAGTTATCTTATTGTTAAAATAAGTTTTACTTATGTCCTTTTTATAGAAAATAAAATTCCGCAATTTAATCACAGACCACTAATAACTAGACGTTTCACGTAGGTAGCTCAAGGTCAAATTAAACTTATTGTCATTTGTAGTACCGATACTAATCTTCAGATGTCGCTTTACTCTGTCTCTAGTTTTACTCTGCAGTTTAGGTTTAGAACACAACTAAGAAAAGTATTATAATTGTCAATCGCCAATTGTCATATATTTATATTTTGATTTTGTTAGTGTTAGTTTGTAAATTACAAAACGAATCACCTACCTCAGTGATCTACGTTTTAAATGTTCCTGGCGGTGTTCAAATAGTATTTTGCAGATTAATAATAATCAGTTAAATATGGTTTTTCACAATAAATGTTGTATCCTACAATGTACTAATTCGTCATTAATTAGACATACCTTTCCAAATCCACGATGAAGACATTACACGATTTAGGAAGTGGCTTAGTGTTATAAACAATCCTAATTAGATATGATGAATGCTAGTACAGTTTATAAAACAAAACGAATCTGCCACAGACACGTTGAAGATAAGTTTGTTTCTTCATGGAGTCATAAATTGTATAAAAATGCAATTCCTAGCTTACATTTGTATGGTGAGTCCAATAAATATTTGATATCAGAGAACAAATAACTGATTGATGAACTTAAATCTGCAACTTCTTTCCTTGAGTTCCGTAAAAGAACAAAATCCTATCTATCTGAAAGATCATATTATTCAGTAGAAGAGTTTCTTAACGAATAGTGTTATGTACAAGTAACTAAACAATTTGTATAAATATATATTTGAGTATCACATGCAGAAACTTGTATTAAAATGTATTAGTTCGTAAGGATTTATTATGCAATTTATTTAAATTTTGCAATACATTGTGTATTTTATTATTTTTTATTTTGTGATATTGACGATTTATGTAATTTCAGTAAATTTTAAATTGCTATTTTTTCTGACTTTTTTGTAAGCTTTTTCCATAAAATTGTACAATTTTCAGTGATAATAGCATATTTTTATTCTATATTAAATTACAAAATTGTTTTACAAGTATTAAATAAATAAATAATTTACATTTTGTTTTATTTTTCCTAAATTGTATTGTGTATATTTGAAATTAAAAATGTCATGCATTTTTTTTTCAAATATACCAAATTATATTTAAAAATTTTAAACTTTATTTTAAATAAAGTTTAAAATTTTTAAATATAATTTGGTATATTTGAAAAAAAATGCATGACATTTTTTAATTTCAAATAAATTTTCCCACCAAAATTAAAATTTGAATTTCCCGCGTAATTTCTCGCTTGAATTAGTTCCGATACTAATCTTATGGAGCGCTGAATTTCATATCCAACTAAAGTAATTGTCGTGGAACATCTAGGGAGGTAGGTGATCTGTGAATTTAATATACTATAAGACGCTTCAAAATCACATAAAATGTAAAATTGGAACTGGGTGACTATATGTTTTGCTTTTAGTGGAAAGAGATTGAGAACATTTATGTTGAAAGGGACTTACTGTCCCGCTTTTGAAAATATATCGCAGAATTCTGTGTACAGTAAATACACCGTGCAAAATCTTGAATTACTCCTTCAAACTCTATTAATTCACATTACGCATTTTTATGTTTCAAGAAATTGATATCTTTCGTCACAAAGATTTTTGTCAAAAGCCTTTTTTAATTTCCTTCTTCAATTATATCCTGACAACGTGACAGTAAATTACGACATGCAACCTGTTAAAAGGTTCAAATTATCAAATATGTAATCTACCGAGCTGGATTACTGAGATTTGTCCCGTAAAAGTAAACCGCCGCAACTGATACAATATGCGGGAAGCATACAATCGCAAATTGTCGAAAGTTATACTCACGTTCACTCCCGAGAAGATTAGCCGCGCTCACGATGGACTACGTCGTAACCAGTCGTGGATGCCATTATTTCATATAACACGCTCAAGAGTAGGCTTTTAAATGTCAGTCAAGACTGTCTTAAACACTAGCTGGTTAATTCAAGTAAAATATTTCGTTTTATTTGCTCCTTTTTAATTTTGTCATATAAGGTAAACCTACCAGTTATTGACACAGTTAGAGCAACAAAGTTCATTAAAATATTCCTACTCTTCATTTATCACATTTGCTGAAATCAAAATTTGTTCAGGGAATGCTTTGCAATGGTGTTAATGTACTCGAATGTTTAAATAATAAAAAGACACATTTTTATGGTTTATTCTAGTGTTGAAACAGAACAAATTTTTTAACCCAGTAATTGACATACCAATTTGGAAAAATCCAATTTTTGACATCCCAGTTATTGACATGATAAAATCCCAAAAAAAACTAATTATTCATGATATTCTAATTATTTAAAAAAACTAAACTATGTATTAAAAAAAAAAAGAAACTTACATAAAAAAATATTACGTAAAAAATGCACTCCATAAGAGAAGAAACTTAAATGAAAAAATATTAAGTGAAAAATGCACTTCATAGTAGGTATTTCTTCTTCTTCTTTTGTGCCACTCCTATCGGAGATTGGAAGTCATCAAGGCTATTCTGACCTTGTTTACGGCTGACCTAAAGAGTTCATTAGTGGTGCAGCCAAACCACTCTCTCAAATTCCGCAACCATGACATTCTTCTACGGCCTGGATTCCGTTTTCCTTCTATTTTTCCCTGCATTATATTTTGAAGTAATGCGTATTTATGTCCTCTCATCAAGTGACCAAAATATTCGAGTTTTCTTCGCTTTAGCGTTAACAAAATCTCTGGGTCTTTTCCTATTCTTCGTATTACTTCACAGTTTGTTATTCTTTCAACCCAACTAATCTTCAGCATTCGACGGTAGCACCACATCTCGAAACTTTCAATATTTTTCATGTTGTTTCTGTTTGAGAGTCCAGGCCTCTACACCGTATAATAGCGTGTAAATACATAGCCTCTCAGCATTCTTAATCGTAGAGTGATGCTTATATTTCTGTTGCAGAAGAATTTTCTCATCTTTGTGAAGGTGGCCCTGGCAATTTCGATACGTCTTTTTATTTCACTGTTTTGGTCTCCAGTTTCGTTTATTAAAGTTCCCAAGTATTTGTAACTTGAAACTTTTTCAACTTGAGTGCCGTTTATACTAATATACGCTGGTTGTGTCATGTTTTTACTGAAGACCATATACTTGGTTTTTTTAATATGATATTTATACCATAATTGTTGCAAGCAATATTATGTCTGTAAGTAATCTTTGTAATTCTTCTACTGTTCTTGCAACTAGTACAGTGTCGTCCGCGTATCGAATATTATTTACAATCTCTCCATTAATTACGATTCCTCCGTTTGCTTGTAAAAGGGCTTCCTGACAGATGCTTTCACTATATAATGACAGAGGTGACAAAATGCAACCCTGTCGTACTCCTCTACGTATTTCTTTTGCTTGTGATGTTTCAGTTTCTATTTTGATGTTAGCTTTCTGATTCCAATATAGATTGAGAATTATTCGCAGATCTTTATTATCTATGTCCTTCCTTTCAAGAATCTCTCTAAGCTTATCAGTAGGTATTTAAGGTGCCTCAAATACATCGATAGGCTTTGAAAAATTATATTTTAGCCTATCTCCTGAAGTTGCAATCTTAGGAGTGTGTAATTTACCAATTACATCTAAAAATTTGATAGTTCAAATGTCATTTTTATCAGTTCTAAATTGAGTTTTTTCAACATTTGTTGCTTTAAGGCACATCACTTCTACTTCACTTTCTACAGGAAATATGTTTTGAGCAACACAAGCATACTTATACGTAACAGTTTTTCTTTTTCCCCCACGAAACTTATAAACGTGGTAGCTCTAAACGCATTCATGATGGATTATTGAGAAATGGATTTTAATGCGTTCTTCGCTAATGGTGCAAAATGTTGTTTTTGTAACTTATTTCCAGAATTATCAAGCCTCCATTTTAGTACCTCATCTTTACAGGCTCTCTTCAATGGCTTGAATACACCTACATCCATTGGTTGTAGTAAATGCGTAGAATTTGGATACAGGGCGATCAATTCTATTCCATTTTTGATACAAAAAGTTGAAAGATGCAAAGTCATGTGAGATACATGGCCATCAACAAAGAACAAAATGGGTCGTTCAATTTTCTGTTCGTTTAGCCAAGGTACAAAAATGTTGGTTATGTACTCATAAAAAGTAGGTCCACACATCCACCCGTTTTCTGAAGTACCAATTGCCCATTCTTTTGGAACACTAGATGATCTATAACTTGGGATTCTTACGTAATTAAATAAAACCATTGGCGGAGCTAACTGTCCAGCAGCATTAGCGGTTATCAGTACAGTAATATTTTCCTTCTCATCTCCTCCTGAGCTGTAAACATTTTTTTCACCCTTTTTTACTAAGACTTTATCTCCCTTTGGCTGAAGGTAAAATGCCGATTCATCAGCATTAAAAAGTCTGTGTGGTTGATCAGCAACAGCCAGTATATTCTTGTCTGTTAGGTATGTTTTAATTTCTTCAAACCAGTTTCGAAGCTGTAATTCAGTGACCTTTTCTCTAGCTGGTGTTAAAGTTTGGCTAATCCTTTCTGAAATTTCAGGATGCCTACCTAAAAAACTTTTGTACCATTTTGGCCCAGGCTTCCATTTACAAATTTGGTATCTCTTTTCATTTCCTTAACTATAAGTTCAACACTATCTATAAGTTGTGTTTTCGTAACTGGATAATGAATTCGAGAAAGTTGTAGCATCCACTGTACCAAAATGTTTTCTTCCTCATTTGTTAAGGTTGGAGAAGGACCCATAGTACAAACCTCGGGATATTTTCCTTTTACTTTGTATAGCAAAGTTATACGAGGTACTTTAAATTCTTTTGAAGTAGCAGCAACTGAGCTTCCTCTTCGAACGGCTAGAAGCGCTGCAGCCATTTGATCTGGAGTATAATTTTTTTTCGGAGCCATTGTCAGTAGTAAGTACTGTAACAAAAAGAAATCCAGTTATGAACATGTAGTATCCTATGACTGACATCCCCTGTCAATAACTGGAAAAATTTATTTTTAAGAAATAATTCTTATAGTGGCAACATCGCCTTTGCATGACAAATTATATGAGAGTTTCCCTGTAAAATCATAGCTAATCCAGTCATTGACTGAGGTGTCAGTAACTGGACAGACAAAAATATATACAATCCAGTAATTGACAGGCCGCCATTTGGCTCTTGTATTAAATTCAACATTTTCCAGTTTTATTATTACACTCTACAACATTTTATGATCACGAGAATATTAGGAAAATATTGATAACATTCATTTTAAGACAGCTATAAAATATTTTTTACCACACTTACCTTAAATAATTTTTGAACTCTACACCACAAAATGATACACAACTGTACTCAATCACTCAACAAAGCACAATGGCTTCACTTATGGTATTAAAACTTTGTGTAGTGTTGCCACATCTATCAATAAACTTGGTAATAGAGTAAATTTAACTCTAGGATTTTTTTTGTTACTTAATATTTAGGAAAATCTTTGAAGTGTCAATAACTGGAAGGGTGTCAATAACTGGTGGGTTTACCTTACAACAATCAAGATTGCCATAATCATGTAGGCGGGATCTGGTCAAAATCAGACCATAATGGCCATTTTCCATAGGAGTCTATTTTTTGCTGGAATTACCGCAGTGTACCTTGTATCAATAATCGCGATATGCGCCAGTCGCAAACTTTTTGCTTAATTTTTTAATCTAAAAAAATCGAAAATATTTCGTTTTTGCGCCCACATTGTCACATATAACGCGAGAGGTATTGCTCCGACAAAAAATTTATACAAAGTAAAAGTTTCGTTTTTCTATTTTACATAATATTTAAGTAGCTAGAAATTGAAAATTTATTGCTTAAAAATTGCAATAATTGGAAAAATAAGTGCCAAAAGGTAGGGGTTTTTCCTTAAAATTTTTTCGACGCCTTAAACACGACTTTCAATCTTCATATTCCGCCCAGAAAAACTTTATAATAGTACTGAAAGGTGTGCTAACTTTCATTGGGATCGGTTTAACAGTTTTTGCATAATCATTTTGCAATCTAGGGCCGCAAAAAATTGTAAATTTGCATAAATTAAGCTAGGCTTAAAATAAACACTTTAAGAATTTTTTTTTGCTTTCAAACGAACTTGAAAACATTATGGAAATCGGTCAACTAGGAGAGTCTAGGGAACAGTGGCGGCTTTTCTTTATGTGCTGCTGAGCTGCAGAACTACCAAACAACCATAGCAAATCTTAATTATTAAAGAATAATTAATATAGTTTTATTTCAAATCTGCCATATTATCATATTAAACATAAACTGTTAATAATAATTCACCAACAACGATGATTAATATTATTTTTTTTACGTATTTACTCCTCTAGTGAAACCGTATAATTTTTTTACGTATTTGGTGCTCCAGTGAAGCAATCTTTTTACGTATTTGCTGCTCCAGTGAAGCCGCGTCGATAACAACCGAAACACTGGCAGCGGTAAAATGCATTTATTAGGCAAACGGCGATCTTAGCCGATGTGCTTCGGCAATCGGCTGATTAACGGCCTCGGAAATGTGTTTGCGAGCTGCAATTCACGACAGTTATTCGTGACCGTTGCATCTGTGCCGTGTTTAGAAATTCTTAGGTTACAATTTTGTTTAATTTGTTTTGTTCGAGCGTGTTTAAAACAATGGAGTTTCAATTTAAATTAGGTGTAAATAAATTTCAAAAACTTCACTATCAACAACAGTTGATTATAAAAGAACGTGGCCGTCCTATGCCTGATCTTAATATTGAAGTGTCCGGTAAAAGCCGTGGAAAAACATATACGCGTAAATTTAATAAAGACATGTATCTACGAAATCAGTGGATTTGTGGATGTTCCGAAAAAAATGCTTTTTTCTGTTTTCCGTGTGCATTATTCGGCGCAGATAAAGAGGAAAAATTGTGGCGCGAGACAGGAGTGCGGGATCTAGTGCATTTAAGTGAAAAAATAAAGAAGCATGAAAACACGCAAACTCATATGAACAATGAAATGCGATTTGCATTATTTGGGAAACTTAATATACAGGCCCAACTTGACTCTGCTTATTGGATAAATATACAAAAACACAATGAA